TCTCAACCCCTTTAAGTGCTATTTTCCTATTTTCCTATTTCCTATTTCTATTTCCTATTTTTTCCTATTTCCTATTTCTATTTCCTATTTCCTTTTCCTTTTCCTATTCGGTGAAGCCAAAGTTTAAGGATAGAGTTAGTCATAAGCCAACAAACTGAACATTGATGGTACAATAAAAGTTAGGGGTAGGAATAATTCATGGTTATTCAAGGTTAGTGAACTCAACAAAATAAGCCTGCAGAAGCTAAAAAGAATACAAGTACATAAGGGAATGGCAGCTGGTAAATGATAGATAGCGGGCGGCAAAACCCGACGTAGTCGGGTGTTGTCGCCAGTGCTACCTTAAATAAAAAGAAGTTTATAATGAGGGAATGATACGTGGCGGCAACACACGACGTAGGATCGGGTTGTTGTCGCCAGTGCTGGCTTGAAAGATGGCTGCAATCTCGAACATGATCTCCTTTTTCTATCTGTCTTTCTGCGATGTATCGCTAGCTCGGCTGACTTAACCTCGGCAGGTAAACTGCCTGAGTTCTAGCTCCCGCTGACTTAATTGCTATTTCCTATTTCCAATTCCGGTGAAGCCAAAAAATATAGGGATAGAGATAGTCATAAGCCAACAAACTGAACATTGATGGTACAATAAAAGTTAGGGGTAAGAATAAATAATTCTTTATATTTAAGGTTAGTGCAATAATCACAACAGCAAAATAAGGCAGCAGGAGCTGTAAAGGTTAGAGTTACATAAGGGAATGGCAGCTTGTAAATTATAGATTAGCGGGCGGCACCACACGACGTAGTCGTTGGTGTTGTCGCCAGGGCTAGTTTATATAAGAAGAGCATTGTGTTGTCAATGATTGGGATGATGAATGATACCGGGCGGCAAAAAACGACGAAGTCGGGTGTTACACGACGAAGTCGGGTGTCGCCAGGGCTAGCTTGTAAGATGGGTGCAATCCGAACATTATCCTGTCCTTCTTTTATCTGTCTTTCTTCCGATGTATCGCAGCTCCCTCTGACTTAAATGCTATTTACCTCGACAGGTAAACTGCCTGAGTTCTCAACCCCTTTTATGATTTCCTATTTCCTATTTCCTATTTCCTATTTCCTATTTTCTATTTCCTATTTCATATTTCCTATTTTCTATTTCCTATTTCCTATTTCCTATTCCGGTGAAGCCAAAGTATAAGGATAGAGATAGTCATGAGCCAACAAAACTGAACATTGATGGTTCAATACAAGTTAGGGGTAGGAATAAATCATTAATATTTAAGGTTAGTGCAATCAGCACAACAGCACAATAAGCCAGCAGGAGTTGTAAAGGTTAGAGTTACAATAAGGGAATGGCAGCTGGTAAATTATAGAGTAGCGGGCGGCAACACACGACGTAGTCGACGACGTAGTCGGGTGTTGCCGCCAGGGCTAGCTTAATAAAGAAGGTTGCAATGAGGGAATGAATGATACCGGGCGGCAACACACGACGTAGTCGGGTGTTGTCGCCAGGGCTGGCTTCAAAGATGGGTGCAATCTCGAACATGATCCTCCTTCTTCTATCTGTCTTTCTGCCGAGGTATCGCAGCTCCCGCTGACTTAGAATTTTGACACCAGTGTTCTCTGATGGCACCAATCAAGAAGCGACGGGTGCCAATGTGCCAATGACTGTCACTCATCCTCTCATCAATGACCTCAACAATCTTGCTCCCACGCGATCATCTACTAGGTAACAGAGCATCTGTCGCTGCATGCATGTATTACCTACTAGCTAGTATCTTTCTCAATAAAAACCAAGAACAATAAGATAGACATCTATTAGCTCGAACAAGATGAGCAGCAACAGTGAAGGAGAAGCGTTCAAAGTGGCGCTGAGGCCGCGTGTGAATATCAATTCGACCATTGAAGAATTAAAGTCTCAGCAGAGCAGTTTGACGTCGATTCAACTCAATTTCTACAAGCGATTCTTTGAAGAAGCCGAAGAGGAGAAATTGGAAAAGCTGTTTGAGGCAGTGGGAAGTCTCAAGGCTCTCAAAACGTTGATTTTCACGTCCAAAGGATCCAATGTACAGGTGGTACCCGCCAATCTATTAGCCAAATGTCTCAATAAAGCATCCCAGAACTTGGAAACGCTCCATTTGGACAATATCCGCGTCAATGCGTTCGATGCCAACATGGACTGTCTCAGCGATGCCTTGGCCGATTTGGAAGAATTAAAAGTCCTCAAATTGCACTGCGAAGATATGGACGTTTTAGAGCAACCCATTGCCGCGGCAGGACAGATACCCACTTTGGAAATATGCGAAATTGAATCGGCCACCATTGCCCAAAAAATTGCAGAACCATCCGAATCTTTGTGCTGGAGCAAATCACTCCACTCGCTCAAACTCATCAATGTCGCACAATCGTTTGGAGACTTGTTTGATGTCATTTCGCTACTGGCTGTCAATCAAGTATTGCAAGAATTGACGTTGCAGGTATCCGAATTGGATGTCAAGGGAGGACAGGAATTGGTCAAAATGCTCGCATACAATAGCTCCTTGCAACGAGTCGTGCTACAGGCCGAACGCATGGCCAATGCCACCGTGGGAGAAGCATTCATACCCTCGCTGGCACAGAATGAATCGCTACAGTACTTTCAAATCATTCTCGATGGACGACAATCCGATATGAAGGTGGTGCGAGCAATGGGCGTCAAATTCAGGGATACCCTCAAGGGAACGTACAAGGTCACGCCAAGAGCGGGAATGGCCATGGGGGTGATCTGTGAACGAGAAGCAGTTGAAGTGGAAGCACCAGCAGAGGAGGAGTAGGTAGGTATTTTTAAAGAGGTTTGGGTGGGGATGGCTTTGGGAACGATCCATGCAAGAGTAAAAACAATGCTACTGTACACCGTAGCTTCCCATGAAAAAGCAATGAAAAGAGCAGTCTCCTTTTTTAGAATACGTTAGCAAAAGACTACTACGGTAGTTGATTAGTGAAGTAGACAATTCCAGAATGTCACACCCCAGCATGTAACATGGTATGGCGATGCCATCAAATAGACAGCGGTGATTATTTGGCACCGATTGTAGTGTTACAACGTTATCAAGATCCTGTACAACAGGTCCTCGCAGCTTTGTAGTTGATTGATTGGTGATCTCACATCACATCATGTATGTAGTCTTTGGTAAAGTGCCCTGTGGAGTATGGTACTTCTTCTACTACATGTTATGTATAGCTAGCTACAATATCTACGTTTTAATCGTCTTCACGAAACGACCAATCTCCCGGATAAAATTTTCCAGTAGTCACTCGATAGGCGGCATACTCGGGATATTTTTCCATGAGCTTTTCTTCCTCCTTATCCGATTTGACGTTGAGTAATAGGATGAGAATTGCTGTCAGGACTAGCCTGGGTGCGGAGGTTGTCAATATGGAAAATCCGGCACACAGACACATTAACCCAGCATAAATGGGATGTCGAATCTTGGAATAGATTCCATCCGTAATGAGCTCTCCTCTGGCGACGGGTGCCAAAAAGGGTGTCAGATTGTTGTCTCCCAAATCGTTTAGGGCTGCCAAGATCAATGCCCCTCCTGCCAGCATCAACCCGGGTCCACCCAGGAACGCAAAGACTTGTCCAATGTACGGCAAGGGAAACGTGCCAATGACAATGGAAACAAACAGAAACAAGACTGTCGCTGTGTATCCTTCACCCCGTTCTCCAATGGATCCATCCACGACGTTTGACTTGACAATGCTCCAGTTGAGTTTTTCCAACAACAAATCCATGCTGGTAAAGAGGTCGTTAATTTGTGCTGCCAAGGACCCTGGTTCATCGGCGGATGTTGGATAACTCTTGGTGGTGGCAGTCAAAGCTGCAGTATCATCCTTGTTGGCATTTTTGTCTTCTTTCTGACTGGCACCCTCTGCTGAAGATTCCTTCTCAACTTTAATATTACTATTTTCGACACTACTCTTTTCAGCAGCAGCAGCCCTGGCAGCATTGGCAGCCTTGAGTGCCTTGTCCAATTCATCCATGGGATTGTTGCTAATGCCCACTCGAACCATCTTGGCATTGTGACGACATGTTGTCCGCGATAATGTTGCGGGCGCAGTGGATTGAAAGGCGCTAAGAGACCATGGTGAGCTCAGCAAGAGCATCAAAAGTGTATACACCCAAGGAGCCATCATTATCATTGTCTGCTACAAGTTTGTTGCTCTATTATGACCTATGATGCTGATCTGTGTGGGTGTCCTGGATCTGGATTTGGTTACTGTCCATCGGATCCGAAAGCTCCAGCCATCAACTCAACCAAGAAACCCAAAGATCGATGACGTGGCAAAGATTTTCAGAACCGACATTTGCTCTGTTCCGGCTTTGATCCCAGGTCAGCAGGCGCGCTAGAGGGCAGTTAAGAAAACGAGCAATGCGATGCTTCGTCACACGAAAGTGAACCCAAGCGGTCAAGAGTCGAGACATCGAGACAAGATGCCAGAGTGGGTCTCAGTTGTACTTTTTTGAATTCGTTCGTTGAAGTAACCTGATCGACCATGGCAACCGCCGTTGACTCCCCTACTACCTCTCCTCTGTCGTCGCCTGTCTCCTCTAGGAGGATGGTGGATATCAAGATGAACCAAGGACTGGGTCGTCTGCTGTCGTGCCCATCAAATCCACTTGGGCCTCTCAAAGTCGGCCCCTTTGCCTTTCATCAGGACAGTGATGTTGTCGAGTCTAGTCAATGTACCAGTGCCAGTATCGTCAACCAACAACAGCAACAGCAGCGCATCCATGACACACTCGACAACAACAACGAGTCTTCGCAATTCTCCTTCCAATCGGCATCCCAAGGAGGAGAAGTCCTCACTCAAAACATGGAGTACACTCAAATGACACAGGACGCCAATGAGTGTAGTAACATGTCACTATCACCATTCCCTACAGTCGAGAAACCTCCGCTCTCCTGGGGACGGCTCATGCCTTGCGATGGAGGCAAGACGGTCGAGCTCGAGCCTCGTGCTCCAGTTGTAGACCCTAAAAAGAAAACTGCCAATCTCGCTACTAGTCAGAGTCATACTGGACCCAGCTTTTCCCTGGTGGGACTGGACAATCTTCGACCATGCGACAATTTCAACGCTTACTCACTGGGAAGAAGTGCCAAATGTGATGTTTCGATAAAACGAGCAAAGACACATCGACAAGACAGCGAAAGAGACCTAAAGGTGATGGAATGGACCCATGGACTCATCAGCAATCGACATGCCACTATCTACTGCTGCTTGCCAGATGCTCCCAGGGCCAACAACAATAAGAACACACTGCCGGCGTCGAGTATGCAAGTATGGATTGAAGACTCGTCTTACAACGGCACTTGGATCAATGGATCAATACTGCTAAAGCGAGGACAAAAGCGCATGCTGCACTCTGGAGACGAAATCTCCTTTGTGGGCAAAGAGTTGCTTCGGAGAAGAGTACGAGACGAAGCACGCTTGCAGGCTGTCTATCAGCAATATGCCTTTGTGTTTGTCAACGTCGCTCATCAACATTTCAAACCAACTGCGGCAGCGGCGGCGTCTACTCCCTTTCCCACCAAAATGAACATACGGCCCATGAGCAGTGCCAAGAAACGTGCTGGATTGGTCAATCCCCGTGCCATGAACTACCCACCAGGAAGTCGGAGTCCAAAACCTAAAACACCCGGCAACAACAATCGGGCACCGTATTCTGCTGCCAAGCAACCGGTTCACCCCACCCCGAAGAGTGGAAATGGACAACAATCGTTGTCGTCATCGCCAGGGTACAACAATCCGCAATCCACAGCAGTAAAAACAGTCTCCTCTTCTCCAAGACGAATTGAACAAGACTATGACATTCGCGATTTGCTGGGACGTGGGACATGTGGCGAAGTACGAAGGGCTATTCATCGGCAGACGGGAAAGGCACATGCCGTCAAGATTGTCTCCCTACCTCCTCCGTCGCTTACGACAGGACATAATCTGCAAGAGCAGCAACAGTGGCTGGCGGAAGCGAGAATCCTTCAGACTTTGGAACATCCATATATCGTGCGGCTCGTCGACGTATTCTACACAGGTAAGTGAAGGAAATTGCGATTGATGCCATTACAATGCAATCATTTGGCAGCATGCCGCTCACACATCACTCCTTCCTGTATTTCCTACCGGTAGAGGCGCACCTCTACTTAATTTTGGATCTTTGTGCTGGCGGGGACTTGTTTGATTCCATCATCAAATCGGCAAAGTACTCTGAGACAAACAGTCGTCGGGTGATGCGACGATTGCTCAGTGCCATGCATTACATACACGAAGATTGCTCCATCGTTCATCGCGACTTGAAGCCCGAGGTGCGAATTTATTACGGAATTTATTAGGGAAGTGTCTTGCGCATGAGTGGAGTCTGACTTGCGTTTTTTGTAGAATATCTTGCTCGTTGGATGCAACCCCTGGGATGTCAAGATTACGGATTTCGGAGTTGCCAAGAGCGCGTCAAGCGAGTTGAAGACCTTTTGTGGTATGTATGGTACTTGCTCTTGTTTGATCCACTGACGCGTGCTTGCCATCGAGAAGTGTTCACTCACAATGATTCGATTCATCTTTTCTTTGCCTTTTCCATTGTTCTTTCAGGGAGTAAGTATCGCCTGCATCTTTACATTATCAGTCCCTACAGCTAAACCTCTCTCACTGACTTGCTTCATTGTTTGTTGCAGCTCCGCTGTATTTCGCACCAGAAGTGCTAGAACGTCGCCACACGGTCGACGCCAAAGGCCGCTATGGGAAGGAAGCAGACGTTTGGTCGCTGGGAGTCATTCTTTACATTTTGCTGAGTGGAACTCCTCCTTATAACATTGATGGAGCTGCCGGGATGGATGTCATTTTAAGAAAGAGCTCGAGGATCTCCTTTCCGCCAGAGTATTGGACCGGCGTTTCAGCGCAGGCAGTAGACTTAGTCAACAGAATGCTAGACAAAGCTCCGAAATCACGAATTACCGTCCGAGAAGCATGCGATCATCCGTGGATCCTTTCCGATGATGGAGACACGCACTGCCATCCTTTAGAAGATCCAAGGTTGATGTCCGTAACCAGAAAGCGACTGTTTCCATCCGCTAGATCGCCGGTGGTTCCTACCCCTTTCACGACAGCCTTATCACCTCAAAAGCAGCCGCCATCGAAGAAACGAAGAAAGGTGTCGATGGAGTCAGGCCGTGCTTCTCTCCTGGACAATGAACTGGAGGTCCCTGTTCCACAGTCCAAAGCGTCGTCTCCTGTGGCCAACAACAACATTCAACAACGACCACTCTCGCCTGTGGAGAACATTCTAGAGTCTGCTGGTTCCCCCCAAGGGAGTCCAAGTGGTACTGGCAAGCGACTGACAGCGGCATTGCAGGGCGAGAACGATGAGAATAGTGCCTGTGGCGAGTTCACGGCTGTGGTTGCGGTTTCGAAACAAATTGGGTCAAAGCAGAACACCTCGATCATGAAACCAAAAGCGGTGGCTGCAAACGAACCCAAAATATCGACCGCAATCATTTCGTCGCTCAAGTCGAGAATCCTAAACGCGGGGAAGAACGTCTTACCAGGACCACCAGCTCTTGACCCAAGGGACACTGGAGCCTTCGATAAGTCAAAGGAGCGAAAGAAGGTTGTCTCTCCTCACTCTGCTGGTGGTCCTGAAGCAACAACCAAAACAGCCTTGTGGGGCCAAGGCAATGTGCCAAAGTCTGCGTTTCGAGGCATCGAACGACCAGCTCACTGGAACAAGTCAACGGGCACCACGACAACAAATAATTCATCTTCAACTGTAGGTATAGGCAGCGCCAAAGTTATTGCGTCAGATTCTGCGAAGAAAGCTGGTGGTGTTACCGGTAGCAAGAAAAAAGCGACAAAAACAGAAGGCCTTGTCAAGGCCGAAGAGCTTCCAGAAGATCGAATCTGCTCTCAGTTCAGTGACGAGGAAGGAGATGATGTCACAAAAGCAGACAAGGTCTGTACCAATGGCGGGTTGAGCAAGCCATTGGCCAAGTCGTCTGAAGTGTCAACTTCATCCTCCGCTTTGTCTTCCAAGAAGAGTGCACCAGCAGCCGAGAACACTGCCAAAGCCCCTGCTCCAAAGTCGCAGACGAGGAAAGCAAAGACGACGGCGAAAAGCAAATCAACAGCAACAACGAAGGGTTCCAAGGGTGGGAAGAAGAGTAGTCAAGGAGGGGCTTCTGGCAAGTCGAAGTCGAAGAAAGAGGACAATCAGGCTACCCTGTCTCGTTGGTTTCAGCCAGTGAAGAAGTCTAGTTGAGGCGACCCAGATAGCTAGCGTGGCTGTTTGCTCAAAGTCAATGCACGGGTAACTTACAATTGACGAGAGTGCTACATAGTTTGTGCTACTATTTCTAGGTTCTATGGAATTGCCTCGCTGTAGCCATCGCGGGGCTTTGATATTCTCCAGCTTCTAGCTACATGTAGTGGCAAGTCAAAACCTACCGGTACATAGCTAGTACGGTACCAAACTACTAAAGAACGGTCCAGTATGCTCTCGAGAGCTTGTCTCCGTTTCGAAATAGACTACTAGCTAGTATGTGTAGTACTTGTGCAGCCATCAGCTTCGCTACCCATCGATCTACCGGCATCAGTCACAGAGACCCAATTTTCCGCTGGGTTGCTCCTCCCAAGTCAACCTACCTGTCTTTTTCAAGTCTTCATTGAGTCATGATGTATTTCCATTCTATCCAAAATCACGCCGAATTTCGTCGGTTCCGATCGACGGATTGTCGTCGTTGCTGTGCTGGCAATTGTTGTTGCGATTGTGCGGCTCGATTTTTCATGACGGGCAAATCCTTGAGAATGGTATGACTGAGCGTTGCGAGTACCAGCTGTATGGAGACACTGGCCGCCTTGGCTTCCCAGATCAGTGGCCGCCCGGCCCAGTGATACGCCATGGCAACGGACCATGGATTTCTGTGAATGCGACTATTGTCGAGATCCATAGTGGACTGATCATTATTCCATCGATTATTGCTGTTGGAAGCTTGTTGTGTACAAAAGTGCAAGAATGCCTTGGCTTCTTTGATTCCAAATACGAGACAGACTTCGTCATTGACATTGAGTGGCATGGGACATTGTGGTGGATAGGCACTATTGTTGTTGCGTTCTGGTTGACTGCTGCTGCTGTGTGGCAACGTTCGTCCATCTCGGAAATCGAAATCCTCTAGATCTTCTAGCCGAAGACAGGATTCCGTCTTGAGGGTGCGTTGTTTTCCATTTTGAATGGCCAATGTGGTCAGCCCGACGGTATCGGTGGAATTGAAGGATGTGGCGACGACCAAATCGGCATCTCGTGTGACAATGATGCATCCTTCGGCATCGTTTCGATTATTTCCAATGGGTTCCAGCCATTTGTGCAGTAGCTTGGGTGCCGCTACGAGTTCCGAACACTCTTCCTTGGGTGCCACGGCACAGATATTATCGACTTCTTCCACTCCCAGGCGATGAATGACTTTGCACCATGTGGGTTGTTGTTTGTACTGGTTGTGACTGTTATTGTTGTTGTTTGGAATTTCCAATTGGAATTCAAAAGCCAATAGCAAGGAGGCATTTTCATTTTGAGTTTGGGTATCACCGTCATGTCCTTCGCTCTTGATGCGGACCGTGACGATATTCTTGCGCGGCCGAATCACTTGTCCCAATGCCTTCATGGGGACGCGACAACTGAATCTCTTTCCCTGACTACAAGTACTACTACTCGCCGTGGAATGATTGCGCTTGCGACCACTAGTGGTAGTAGCAGCCATGACGGGAGCCGTACACCGTTCGAAAAAGGGCGGACTGAATTCTGTCACACAAAATGCCGACTTGGCGTCATTGAGCGTTCGAAGCACCAGTCCATCCATGGGATCAAAATCCACATACAAGTCCTTGCCAATCTTGCTCAGACATTGAATGGCACCTGTGAAGCAACGAAACGAGTGACCAGGGATCACACAGTCCATGGTGGGTTGGTTGTTGTTGTAGCTATGCCGTAGTAGTACGGTAGTTTGGTTGTTCACAATCTTTCCTCTCTGCCAAAAAAATGACCATTAGAGATGAGGCTAATGGATCTTTCCAAAATCTTTTTCTCACTTCTCAGAGCCATCAATCGCCATCACCATCTATCTCATATCTCATCTTCCGACCACAAGCAAAGAGCTTTTGTGCTGTGGTTTGTGCTGTGGATTAATTGCTTGAAGATCGATGATGTGCATACAACGTTAGTTACATTGAGATATTCAGTACTGTAGAATAATTAAGATGGCATCACCCCAGACGACTCTGGCTCGGCGCTGCATTGTCCGTCCCGTACGACAGAAAAAGACTGTGAGTCCATCGGTTGCTGCCATTCAAAGAGCCAACGACAGTAACCATAACCATCATCATGATAATGATCCACCACCCACACGACAACAAGCATCTCAATTCTCGTGGATGAAACATGGCGTGGGCAGATTGACAGCTACTAATGTGAATAATAGTCAAAATAAACGGCCGTCGACCCAATTGACCCAAGTCAGTCACAAGGCTCCCATGCGATGGTTGCCGCTAAAATCGTCCCGGGTCGAACAAGCGGGAGCCGCCGTGGCAGCCATGAGTAGCTACGGAGCCGGCCTCTTGCCGGGAGATGTCAGTGCCGTGCATCTCAAGGTACAACCACACGCAAGATTGGGAGTCCTCACGCAGGGATCCAACCGGATTTACAAACAGCACAAGACATTTGTTGGCAAGCAAGACGACAATAATCCACAAATGGCCAAGGCTACTCTGGCAGCCACAGTCCAAGAAGGAGCATTCTTGGTCCTGGCGCCAGATCCAACCGTTCCCTTTAAAGCGAGTGCGTTTCATCAACAGCAGCTATTCACAGTTCATCCAAAAGCATCTCTCGTTGCCATTGATTGGTTCTCTTCCGGACGATTCGCCAATGGAGAGCGATGGCAAGCGTCACGGCTATCATTGGAAACAAAACTCAATCTACTACCACCAGAAGAAGGAGACTCAACAAGCAACCACCAAACTATTGTATGGGATGCCACCACGTTGGATCAGAACAGCATTCAGCAACATCATGATGATAGCAGCAATCCATTTGGATTTGATCTAGGACAAAACTCATTCAATGCCTTTGCGTCCATGTTGTTGTATGGAAAAGAAAGCCTTCCGGTTGTGGAACAGTTGCAGCAATTGCAGTATCAATTGGCCAGTCCCTACACGAGGTTGCGAATGCCAGATGACACGAGTATTAGTGATGCCGTTGTTGACAATGGCACCACGGGACGAATCCTGCTCGGAGTCAATCAAGTAGAAGTGGCAGTGGCGGATCATCATGACGTAGGGCCCGTGTACATGGCCCGATGGGCCGCGGAGTCTAATGAAGATCTGTACCGAATGTTCCATCGGGCCCTCCGACCGTTGGCGCCCAGCTTTGGAATCGAGTTTTATCAAGATCGAATTCGAGCCACATCGTCCGGACCAGCACCGAATCATCGAACAACAACAACAACAACAACAACGACAGGAGAAGCAACCAAGGTGGTGTTCCCATCCAGCCGTGTACCAACAACCTCAAAGGCAACAGGAGGTGTGCCCTTCCCTATTAGTGTGCCCTTCCCTACCACAAACCAGGCATCCTGGAATGCCTTTATGCTGGCGGATTCGGCTTTGCCCACTGGAAGTTTCGCCCATTCTGCCGGATTGGAAACAGCCGCGCAATTGGGATTGCTATCTAACAGCAACGAATCGACGTCAGCAGAAGCAGAAGATGAGGCAGACGACAATGTACAAACATTCATCCAGGCAGCCACTCGATCTTCTCTTCAACAGGCCACGCCTTGGATTCAGGCGGGGCATTCGATGATTGGAACAAAAACTTTGAACGAGAGTAATGACGTACCAGGAAAACTAGATGTATCTGATCTTGTGGAGCAGTGGGAGCAATTGGATCGTCATGTCCATTCGGTATTGGTGTGCCAGGCACCTGCCTGTCGTGCTTCTCTGGATCAAGGAAGGAATCTTCTTCGTGTGGCAATACCTTGGCTAGAGGCGTCGTCGCCGGAGCATCCGGTGCTGGACGTCTTTCGAGGTGTACAGGAACGACTCGTCCAAACCAACACATCCGGTCACGTTGCACCGCTGTTTGGGATCTTGGCAAAGGCTCTGGGATTGACGGCCGACGAAGCGTCTCAATTGATGGGCTTTTGTGTCGCTCGGGACATTGTCTCTGCAGCAGTACGACTCAATCTATTGGGACCTTTGGCAAGTGTCGGTGTGCTGTCCAAGGTGCACGCTGCGGCCCAGCAAGGAGTTCACTCGCACTTGTTGGACAATGGGTCAGCTAGCAGCTCTGAAGATGCAAAGCGTAATCTTTTGTGGACAGACACATTGACGGGAGGATGTGCTCCGGTGGTTGATGCAATTCATCCTTGCCACGACATTTTGGCAGTAAGGTTATTTCGCACTTAATGTTTCCATAAGAGGCCCTAGCTAATGACATTGCGAGAGCAAGTATATGTATGGTACCGTACTAGTATGATGATCCAGTTGAGTCCTTGGACGATGGATTTGTATTCTTTGACAAGCTTCTCGGATGGATCTAGGCTGTCCTGTGGCACTCGATATACTGGTATGGGCAGCCCACTTGGATAAGGGGTATCATCGGCGTTGTCATGGGCAGCCTTTCGGTGGGATGCAACGTTGGGTGACAGAATGCATTCTTTGCATCCCACTGCAGGTTTCGCCATTCAAGCCAATGAAAGCCAACATAAATAACTAAATAACGAAGTAGGGGATTACGGAAAACAGGCAAAACAAGGTGGCGCCCGCTTGTAGAACTAGGGAAATGGATCGAGCGGTGCAGGCTTTGACGGTGGCATATACGGTCCCACCAGGACTGATGACGGCGAGGTACCCGAGGAGTATAGATAGCGTGATTGGCGTGCAAGGGATCGTTTGAGGTGTTGTGCAAAGTGGGTGAAGAGATTGAGTGCAAGTGACTGGTGAGCCCAGCGTGATGGGGAGTAAGGCTGGGTGTCGATGGAGTGAGAAGGTGGTGGGTGAAAGGGCTTGTCAGCCGTGGGAAGAAGGGCTGTGGGAGCAGAGAGTAGCTGGGTGTAGGAAAGTTGGGAGTGGAGGGGTAGTTTGGTAATCCATGGGGGTGCAGGGCGGGGAAAGGGTTGACGGTAGGAACCATAGAGAAAGGAGTGTGCGAAGGGTCCCAGACCGAGGAAGGGATCGACAGTGAACGGAAGGAGGATTATGCCTGCGGTTTGGAGGGCGGTGAAATAGCAAGCTGGAACAGTGCAAATGTGTTGGATAATAACGGTATTATTTTAAAGGCTACACCTCACTAGACAATTCCGCAGAACGGTGCCATAGTGAACTCGCATGCCTCAGACGCACTAAGGCGCCCACTTAGGAATGAGCCTAGTGTAAGCCCCCCACTGGAGAAGTGCAGATGTATTGATGCTTGGTTTGGCGCAGTGCTAGCCAGGTAAATGGGGAGGGTGAGGGATTGGTGGGCGAGTAGCTTTGATGGCAATGGAGGTACAATGGATTGTTTGTTTCCAGCGGACTAGAATGACTGTCGATACCTAAGACCTTCACAGGTTTTGAGGACGAAATTGATGGTCTTGGTATGGTTGCAATCGGTGGAGACCACCGCTGCAGGCCGAAAGGTGCCCGGCGAAACACTTTTCCCATGACCACCCAGTCAGTGAGCTCCCAGGTGTCATTCCATTGGGCTTCAGTGAACGGATCATCTCGAAGGCGCTCCCCTCTTTGGCGCCAAAGGGGGTTTTATCTCGGGCTCCCAGATGGCTTCATGCATCTGTCTCATGTGAAAGCGGGCTAGTTTTGCTTTCATTTGTTCAAAAGCTTTGGTGTGCTCTGGGAGCCACTCAAACTTCTTGGAGTTTGTTATACTTGTCAATCTATGCAATGGATCAAGCATATGTGATTGTTGTGGATACGTGTCTTTATAAAAGTTTACTGCTCCTACGAAAGAGCGCAATTCTCTAAGGTTTGTTGGCCTTTCCAATTCCAAGATTGTGTCAATTTTCTTTTTCCAAGGTTTGATTCCGGTTGGTGTCAACCACAAGCCAAGAAAATCTGTCTCTTGGACTGCCCATTCACACTTGAGTGGATTGATGGTAAAGTTGTTTGCTTGGAGGCATGGCAGGATGCAGTCCAAGTGTTTTATGTGTTGCTGCCAGGACTCTGCCAGGCATCCAACTTCGACTTCCTCGATGTCATGAAGGACATCTTCCATACTTCGTTGAGCATAGTCAGTGGACTGGCAGCATCCCGTGGGAAGTCTTTGGTATTGGTAACCGAAGCTAATTACATGGGCGTACCTGCTTTGCTTCTCCATCGTTGAGTTCTTTGAGGAGACAACGAGACACCTACCGCTACGCTAGCTAGCTAGTAGACCAGGTCCTCGATCCGTGCCTTTCGTGCTTGGAGTTGGGGAACTGATTGTTGTCAGACAAAGCAACTTCACCGGCTTACGTTTGGCCTCGAAGATCCAAGATGGATCTTTCATTTTTTTCTGTCCGGTGTCTTGACCGAATTCAATCCTCAATCTAAGTCAAGCCAATGGCAATGGACGGCTGATAAATCGAGCAACCATCTCAGTCAGCGATGTGCTACCAGTAGCCAAATCAACTTTTGAGATGGCAAGATGCGGCATCTGACGTGCAGAAACCTTGTTTTTCTAGTAGTCAGCGTTGTTGCTATTTTTGGCCTTTCGACGGAGTGGCGGTCTGTTCGAGATATTGGAATTTCTTCCCCCCAAACGGCCAAGACAGGAGAACCTTGCAATTGTATCGATTCCAATATCAGAAATGACACCATCGAAATACAGTACAAGTACATCGAGGTGCCCTCAGCTCCTTTGGAGAACTCAACGGTTGCTCCCAAGACAGAGGATGGCTCTGATGGCAAAAGAGTTTTCAGCCGACAAATAATGTGCTCGCACAAGATACGCGGGGAAAAGGTTCTTTTTGATCGGGTATCCACAATGGCGGTATTCAACAATGCACAAAGCTCCCACAGTGGAGAAGAGTACGTCTTTGCATGCTTGGACTGGGCTTTCCGCCAAATTGGAGTGGAGGTCCATCGCCGGGACCGCAGCATTGAAGAGCTCAGCCCGGCATTTTTGGCCCAGTACCACCGTATTTTCAGCAATGGTGTCAACTGGCATCCTGACTTTCACGAGCACCCAGAAGTGACCTGCAAGGTGCGAACCCTGCATTTTTGGGGAAACAAGATTCCGGGTCCAGAAGCCCCATACGACCAAAGGCAAATTCTTTCGCCTTTCCCGGAAGACTACAATACGTTTCTAGGGTTCTTCCCTCATGAGCTAGTTGCGCAAAACAGAACAATTCCCGATCGTCACAGGGGGAAAGAGGGGCTGATCGTTGGCAAAGTTGCTTTTCTCTTTCAATTGGATCCAGACTTTGTTCCAGCCGTCCAAACATTGATTGATAGCGGATTCACCATGCATTCAGTTTGCCGCGAGCAGCTGGAGAACAACTGTGGTCTTCCAGATGGCGTCGTGATGCATTCATCCTTATCACCGGAGGAATATTCGCAACTGATTGCCAGAATGGCCTTTCTGATTGGTGCTGGCGCCCCGATTATCAGCCCCAGTCCTTTTGTTGGCTGGGCACAAGGAGCTGCTTGGTTGAATCCCTTTGTAACCACAAATGATCCCAGACATAGGAACCAAACTCGTGAATCTCTGCAGAAGTATCCTCTCCATTGGATGCATCCACCCAACACCAATGTCATTGTTACACAACACACTCCAATCTCAATGTTGGGGGCGCCGTATGTCTACAATGTGGACTTGTCGGACAAGGCAAGTGTGGTGCAAGCTGCTTATCGAGCTGTGAGGTACCGATTTGCGTCGTATGCGCATCCTCTGTTTCGGCCTGTGCTATGATTGACAGAGTCTGCACTCTCATGGAGGATGACGCTGTTTGTGACTGTCCAGGGCTCAAGGAAAAGTACCAACAGGATGATCCGACTGGCACTGCAATGGCAGTTCTTACATACAAAACAAAGTACCATAGACTAGCTGAACGCACACTACCGATACCGGAACTAGCTAGCTAGTACGATGTAATGGTTCTGTGCAATCTCTTTGCGAACAGGCGAGACCTTTCGTCCTTTTCCTTTTGCGTTTTTCTCTAAAATACAGTATTTTCGATATTTTACGATTTAAAAAAGTCAAAAGCTTTCCCGCCTCTTGGATCTTGGATCTCACTAATCACGTACATTGTACGGCAGCATTTGCAGATTTCAGACAACGTGCCTCTGAACCATACCGTAGCGACCATGGCGACGTTTCCTCCCCCTTCAATCGCCGTTGACGGTATCGTTGACAACTGTGAACAGGCAGAGATGATGCCAAATTGCGACCCTGCTGTTCCTGTACGAAAGGGTGACTTGACTGAATCATGACATTGCCAAATTTTGGCCCATCGTCGGCTCGACTCGACTCACTCCGTTTTGCATTCTTCCATAATGTATGTTTTCCATTGTAGATTGTGGAAATGGCAGCCTTGCTATACCATGGCGACACCATTCAAGCGCGTCATTTGTACCGTCGTTACCGCGAAGGATGTCCCGCCGAAGTCCAGGCCGCGCTAGAGGCATGGTGGGGCCTCGGTCGTGCTATGATGGAGTACGATCTTGCGCAGATCTGGCCTCGATTGACCCAGTTGCAGCAGCAACAACCCAAACCATACTGTAATTATGCCCAAGAAATTGGAACATCATTGTGTCGTCGTTTGCTTCCCAAGTTGGCGTCGATTTGGAACAAGAGCAATGCGAGTGTGTTGCTGGGATTGCCACGACAAGAGTGGAATGTCTTTTTGGAATCTCAGCGCAAAGCTTTGATCGAGGATGCCAAAAACAAAACTCCAAAGTTGGGATCAGAGCATACAACCGATATTATTGCCTTTTTGGAAAGTCCAACGTTGCGAATCTAATGGACGACGAGCAGGGAGAGAGTTCACGGATACTGTAGATACACGAATCCAATGCACAAGTTTCTTAGCTGCAACCTAATACAGAAAAATACTGGAACGTTCCAAAGATGCTGCAGTTGATTTGATAGAGGATCATTGGCGGTGGCAAAGCAGTCATGTTCAACAATAGACGACAAAATCGCGATGGACCCTGCAAAATTCAGGATACTTTTGAAAATAAAACGCAATTTGAGGTAGCCGACATTGAACCGGCTCTATTGGCAGCAGAGCATTTTTTAGTAACGATCTGTACATGCAATACTGGAGCAGATATTTTTGGAAGGTGCGGAGCACAAGAACTGCTGGTACAGTTCATTCCTAACCGTCTATGATTATCAGAGCTTCTACCGGTACTCTGAGCGTTTCTCTACTTTTAGAATGGAGCATCTTGTCCATCAAAAGTGCAACCACTCCATGTGAGTGGCGCCCTTTAGACACCGGGGTAGCAAGATCACACAAAACCCAAGACCACGGCTACGGTACAAATGTTATTAAGGTAGGGCCCGTTTGGATCTGACTGTACTACCATAGGCAAAAAAGGGTAACAGCTGCAGGAGGAGGCCGTCTTTGGAGCAGGATTGGATTGGCCTGTAACGCCCATTCTAGCTACCGGTGGCGACTATGAGCCATCGTATCGGGTGAGAGGAATGAATCTCTCGTACCGGTACACGTGCAGAGTCTCTGCCAGAGCACGAGTTGCAACCACGGAACCAGGCCTGCACCACCTACTAGTATTCTTGACAGATCAATTAGTCAGCTTTCCCTCCACTGGCCAATACAGTATACGAGGGAAGCTATTTAGCTAGCTACCGCGGTTCGAGGTGCGCTACTACGGACGAAGGCAGTGGACCGGTCTGGTACTAGTACTGGTGCAGGTACCATACAGGGTGTGATACTGCAATGAAGGGTATTCCGTTTGGCTTCCACGATAAAGTCCCACGGGATCGCTCTGTAAAAGAGGAACTTGAGGCTCGACTTTGATAGTCAACAACCTGTCATGCTGGCTTCAGAAGCAACGAATGAGAAGATTCAATCCAACAAAAATTTAAGTACCAAAATGGACAAATAGACATTTTTGAATCCCCCTCCTATAATTGACCTTCTTCTAAATTGAGTAATTAGGCCACCGGAAAGGTTTCAAAAGCTCTTTTTGTAACGACCGTTTCTCATCTCTGTCTCCGCAGCGTCAATTGCACATGCCGTGGGCACTCCACCAAAGGAACAAAAAGAGAGACAACTCACATCATCGCAGCAACAAGAGAGTGAGTGGAGTGATTTTCACAGCAGATCGAACCTGGTCGACTCTCCCCTTTCTTTCTCCTGGACAATCGATTCATCCCATAAAGCTAGCTATTTGCTTGTTGTTTGCCAGGTGTTCATAATTTGGATCGACTTCTTCCCAAGACTCGTTTCCGTTCTACCACAAGATATCTAGCTAGTACCGGTATTATCGATGAGCATCATGGTGGCGATCAATGGAGACGTAAAGGCCAGCGGCAGGACGATGAGCCGAAGTAAAAGCAAGCAGTTCACCATGGTGGTTGTCGGATTGGGTCTGATTGCACTTCTATTGCTTCGATCGACGGGTAGTAGCGCTGGCAGCAGTCGATACCCCAGCGGTTCCATCACCCCGCCAACCACGTACTCCAGCGATCAGAGAGCCACAAGCAATGTGGAATACGACACGGTTAGTAGTCGGAAACGCAAGCCAGAGAGACGAATTCGTCAAATTCTCTCATTGGGGAGAGAAACTCGGGGACTCGGTGGACTTGGAAGTGAGTATCTTTCGTCTTGAGTGACATTGCAGTTGCCAGCTGCTTATTGGATTATCTAACTCTCTGTGATTATTTCTGGACATATTTTCCTATGTTATCAAGTCATTTGGAAGAATGCTTTAATCATTCCATTCCGGTGCGTTGTCCATTTGCTACCAGCGAGCTGCCCAGGTTCCCTCATTATTCTCACTGCTTGTTTTTCTTCCTCGTTCTCTCTGGAACAATAGGTTGAGCGACACTTGACTCGATACAAGCACTGGTTCCAATATCCAAACTACACTGCCTACCCTCATGATACCCTAGTCATCGCTCAATTTCGTAACCCTTACGACTGGTTAAAGGCTATGCAACGGGTGCCCCATCACTCCCCATCACACTTGAAATTAGATTGGAAACCATTCTTGACCACTCCCTGGACGGCACCTCGCTTGGGCGCCGATATTGAAATTGCACCTTCTTTTTCTTGTCTGGCGTCATCTTCCCGGATAGCAGTATCACGACATTCTGGTTCAGGCCCATTGCTTCTAGATTTGCCGTTGCACGACCAATCACATTGTAGGCTACCCGCATAAAGGTCATGATCCCCTTCAAAGTTTTTATCCTTCCGCCAACATAGGAAAAACAGTACCCGTAAGATTTCACTGGCGTAATAAAGGCTATCTCGACTTCTTTTAATTCCTTGAGAATATTAGGTGCACATCCAACAAAGTTGCTTTTGACAATAGCATATAGTTTCGTTTCAGGCTTCTCCTTCTTCATTTTCCCGTGACATCCTTTGCAAACGGATTATGCCCAATTTCCGACCGTTGCGCCTTTTCCCGTTAACTCCACGTGGTGACAGCGCCAGGTCACCAAGCCATCTTCGACATCCCTTCGGAACCCTCGCAGGTGGATCCCTAAAGCGGTAACAGTCTTCAACAGCTTCCAAACGGTACTCCGGATGATCTTGGAAGACTTTGTCCCAACGTAGATGTTCTTGAACCTTCTTTAACTGATCGAAGAACAACCATTCCACATTGTTTTCGTGCATGATGGTTTCATCGCATACAGAGCAGACATAGGGCGTAAACGTCTTGGTCCATGGATCCATCATCATCAGATTGTCATACCGACGGTTGATGTTAGCCTGAACGCACTCCACGGTCTTGACATTGCCGATAATTTCAAAAGGCTCAAAGTTGGACATGGACATGGAAGCTGCCGCCAAGAAGAAAAGAAAGCCCCACGAAGCACTGCATGTAGAGGAACACATCCTACCATTAGGATTTTGGTGAGAACGAAGCCTATCCTCCACAGTTCTTCGAACAGACACTTTCGCTGTATGCATCGTGCTTAATCGAAGCAAAATTGTACATTATTATCTATACTGCGATCCAATTTTCACGTATAACAGCTGACTTCACTTGCTAGGCAATCAAGCTATCTACACCAAACCACACAGTAAAACAGCGTGACAAATCTTTATTCATTTCGGCAAACCAGTCGCACCAACGTTTCCTAATCTGTCTATGTTGACGTTAAGTAAATCCACGTCTTTCATTTACATCCGCGCCCACGCTCCCAATCTCGCTGTGATTTTCACTTAGATACATATACCCCTGAAAATCAAAAATCGTGAGGCCCCGCTCTTGTCATCTGGTGGAGTAAGATAAATATCATTATATGCACCGTTTCTAATACCCTAAATCCCTGCCGCAGCAATTGGGGGATTTCCACAAATCCAATCACACTGTGTTCATTCATGTGTCTACGTACCTTCCCTAAATAATTCAAACGAATCTTTTCCATTTGATAAACTTGCAATTTCTAGCGATAGGTATCGTGCACGACTTCCTCTGGCAACTGCCCCTTCCCCCTTTGATACAAGTATACTGTTTCACTATAGCATACAAGCCAGCTACACTATACTCCGCTCAATCGTATCAGCGAATACACTCAGGCGAAGAATCCCCGCTTTCTATATTATACTTTCTTTGCATTGAATATGTATATATGCGAACTCATTCTCTATTCGCATCGATTCATCTTGAACGTCACAAAATCAAGTTCAGTCAAAACACTCAAAACATCCTCTCATCCTACCTAGCAGCCACCCATCAACCATCTCGTCCTGCCACGTAAGCTACCTTCTATTTTACCTTCTTCTGTTTGGACAATGTTTTGCACTTTCAAATGGATCCACTCACCTTCCTCTTTCGGACTTCATAATTTTCAGAACTTCCTTCACATTTCTTCCCAAACACCCGAGCATCAACACATGTCGTCGCAATCGAACCCCTACTTCCGCTGGTATCAACAGCAATAAGAAAAAGGGCGGCGGCCAACAAAGCAAGAGGTCCTTTCAATTCTGTGAGCTCCACGCTGTAAATCCCAGCAACCTCAAGTAAGACGAGAATACCCCTTCCCGGAATGTTCCTCAAGTTCACAGGCTTTGTTGAAAAGAAAGCTACCGGGTGTATGTACAACCGACGCAAAACCACGCCCGTCAACGGCGTTAAACCCAAAGACATGATGGCCTTTTTCAAGCCCTCTCTGACAAGCACTGATCGAGTGGGTATTCAATTGGTGGACCCCGCTTCTGCTGATGGGGAAAAGCTCCTTATGTACGAGGCCACCAAGGTACTGCTTATGACCAAAGAGGCTTTGTTATCATTGCCCCAGAGGTAAGTTGACGAAAAACTGGTGAACGTTTGTTGCCCCAGATCCCAACCCCAGAAATGGCCTTGAAGTGGTTCAATGAAATCTTTAAACCGGCCTACATGCAATACGTGTAGACCGGCAAAGAAGGATGAACCCTTCCTAGTTCTCGACGAACAGGACAAGTGGTACAAGGTCCATGACACCTGGAGTGAGCTGATCACCACTCCGACATCATGACTCACCTTGTGACGGATTCTTGGATCGATCAAGGCGAATACCGCACTGTATCCGAATTCCTCAAGGACGACAAGGGCATGTGTACTCTATTTGCCTCGTGGTCAACTCCCGGCTTCACGTCTTACGTCCGTTGGTTTCACCGAAACAACCTTGGATGCATCGGACTCGGTCGCATGCGGGCCATCACTGGTGCCCGTCGCAACATTATTACAAGCCACTACGCACGCACACCATCCCCCGCCCCACCTCTACTCCACCAGTTCGCCTTCAAGCTGCCACACGGCCCTTCCCCATGGTTTGCACTACCCCCCGGCATGAACTTTGAGGCCTTCTTGGGAACCCTTCTGGAAAAGCACCAACAGGAGAACGGTGGTAAGTCTCCAACAGTAGC